TCACTGCCCTTGGGCACCCACTTACAACTCTGAAATATCTGACATTTACCGTATCTTCTGTTGAGCAAGCATGGCCAACCCAGTATATAATATTTGCAATCTCAATTTGTTGAGTGCCAGCCTTGATTCAGTCGAAGTGGCAGCATCCAAACTCAAAAGGAAGGTTTCAGCAACCTCAGAGGGAGTCCCCAAAGTTTGCAGAACTACCTCCAAAAATTCTTTATGAAAAAAAGGGGGGAGGGCACCCCTAAAACAGCCCACTGAGATCTGAGCATGTTCAGTAGGCACAAAATGTTCATTGGCTCTTGCGGGAAAAGCATGGAAATCTGAAGAAGGGAATAGAATGGCTGGGAGTAGAACCTTGAACAGAAGTACTGCAATATTTTGTTGCAAGGTCCACTTGTTTTAAATGGCAAGTAGTTCAAGATATAGAACCCAGAGGGGAAAATTGCAAGTTTTCTAATCATGCAAGGTAACATTTCTGAATGACATCTTCTTTTGCAACTTCAGCACCCTTCTGTTAAGTTGGAAATAGTCCTTCTGTGAATTGGAAGGGCACCTTTGAGACTTTTCAGTTTGAAGGTTTGGCTGGGTTTTTTTTGTTTTTTGTTTTAAGTTTAGGGCACCATGAAAGGTAGAGATGCACATGCAGAAGATCTGCATAGGAAACCTTTCCAGTGGAAGCTTCCTCCCTCTCCTTGGCCATGCTGTACCCTCAGTAGGGTGAACTGTACTACAAATCTGTGCAAATATTTTTGAACAAGGTCTTAAGTTCATGTATTTACTTGTACATGGGATTCTTTTTGAACTCCAGGTTGTTGTTGTTATTTCTATATTGCCCTATGGCCAAATGTCTCTGGGTGATTTACAACACCTCATAAAATACAATTTAAAATAGAGATAATAATAAAACATCATAACATTTCATTGCAAAATTTAAAACACCGAATTTACACTGTTCAAGACCCTTACTTGCTTAGTTTCAGCAATTCCATAACATCAATTATTATTTATTACATCTCTATACCATCCCACAGCTGAAGCTCTCTGGATGGTTTACACAACAACACAGTTTACAGTTGGGCAACAGCTTTATTAAGACCAACCAAAATTTCACAAGAAAGTATAAGCTTTAGAGTTCTTTAAAACACTTCATCATGCTAGTGGTACAAAAAGCAGGGGATGGAAGAACAGATTTTTCCTCCTTCCCTTCTTTTTGCATCTCCCAGCCTGCTGAAGTGTCCTAAAGCACTCAGGAGCTTTGGCTGGACTAAATAAAGCTGCCACCAAGTTGGAGTTTGGATTCCCTACCCCTGGCCAGCCCAGCTGTATATTTTTTTTTAAACTGTAGGTTAAAAAAGTTTCCTTGAAATGATTTGCTTGGTCCCTGTTTTTAACTTGGAGCATTTTAAAGCAGCATAGGATTGTGTTGGGTTGAGAGGGAATGGCTTCAGAAAGAAATCTGTTCAATGTGCATGAATGTTCAACTTTCCTTAATAGAGAGTTAGCAGTTCAGTGCTTTTGCAGCTGCTTGAAGTGTAAATGCTAGGATTAGCATTAAATATCAGCAAGGCCTTATTAAATGGGAATAGAATAAAAGTAAGGCAATAGAATAAAATTCAGCAAAGACAATATGAAGTATTAACATTTTGTGGGCAAAACAGTGGAATAAAAATTCCTTTGCTGTACTGCTGTTGAAAGAGACATATGCATTATAGTGATCCATGACTGGACGTGATGGTCCTGCAAAAACAAATTAAATTTTAAAAAGCAAGCAAGAAGCTTTTACTGTCCGTACCTACTTCTGTTTTGTTCTCAGAGTTTAGCTGTTTCCAGCTGGGGTCTGTGTGTATGCGTATATGTAATAAGTATTTGTACAACTGGCATAAAATGCTATATCCGAGTATTAATGATCTTTTACACAAACATGTTGCCTTTTCCATCCTAACAGTTTCTCTGCCCCTCCCTACCACTTTCATAGGTACTCTTTTCTTTGCAACAAAATAAGAGGAGAGGGCTTAGTCTGATGAAGTCTGCTTTGAAAAAAGAAAAGAAACAAAATACAATTTGAGATTCTCAGGATTTCAGATTTTGTCAAGCCTTCCGCTCAGCTAACCTTCCCGCACCTACACAGTTTTGTTACAGTCCTTGGCTAATTCTTAACACATGGCTGTTTACTGTCCAGTCTTTAATGCAATTCCAAAAGTTACTTCACTAAATTATAATGAGTACAGATAAGCCTGAATAGTTTTAATTTTAGTTTCTCCTAGAAACTGTTATGGATGTCCCATAAGGATGTTGGAGAAGGAAAAAGCAAAAGGAGCAAATTTTGATTATGCCTCAAGTTACCAAGGAGAACAGTAAATGTGTTTCAAAATCCTTTCTATTTTAAGGATTGTTCCTCATAATAGTCTGATGGGATTAGCAGCTGCAAAAGTCATTGTCGTTCCTGTCCCCCAGCCGCCTTTTTCTCTTCTCATCTGGGAAAGTTAGACCATTTTATTTTATGCCAATATGGTTATAAATCACAGGATAAATTAGCCAGCTTCATGACAAGATGGCGAATCTCCTCAGGTTGGGTGTTTTGATGGAAGGAAGATAAGTAATAAAGAGTCTCCTGCGTGTGAGAAATAGGGAGAGCCTGCTGTTTTAATTTTGTTCCCAGCGGTGGGCAAAACTTTGTTCTTTCAGCGCCAACCTTGATGCCTGGCTTGATTATAATGTAGGAATTCAATCCCTTGCATATCTTTGGGTTCATAGCCTTTACTGGAGTATCCAAGAAGAGGGGGATGTCTCCTGCAGGACTATAAAGTACATAAAACTAATAGCACTCCAGTGAAATTACACACAGATTGCTCCAAATGCATAAGTTCGCAACAGTATTAGGTTTTCTTTCTAGTCTTTAAATACTACTGTTTAATATACAGTTCTGGGGAATTTCATTTGGGTTTCTATGGCACATGTCTTCCCCCTTATTTAATAGTCAGCATGCAATTTAACATGCATTGAACTGTGCATGATCTAAAGGACAACATGTATGATAGATATAAAATATAATTAAAAATTTATTCTACTGTTGTTCCCAAATGTAGAATGAAATGCAACTATTCTGATGACCAATGGCTGTTATGGGGCCATCCCAAGATGTCACTAAGGATGCAGCTGGGAGATTAAAATGAATTCAGACAGACATTTTAAAGGCCAGTCAACAATGCAAAGTGGTGAAGAATGCCCTGTTCTGTTACCTTCTATGAATTCTAGAAGGGCATGAGCGTTCTGCTTTCCTATACTTTTATTCTGAAACTATTGCATGATATAGGGGCAATCATTTTTAAGTTTGATTTTACTCTTCAAAATATATATAGGTCTGCAGCAGACGGTAGAGCCTCTGGCTTCATGAACAAATCTGGCCCTCCTGGGGCCTCTATCTAGTCCTCTGGAATTCCCCAGATGGCAATACTCCCTTTTCTGGCTGCACCTTTTCCCCCAATCATGGATTGTTTTGAGATTGTTCATCTTTAGGGTTCTTTTTTAGCCTATGCTCAGAGGTTGAAGTGCCTCAACAGAAGACTTAGCAGTACTAGGAGTGAGAGCTTTAAGCTACAATATGCTTTTATTTTTTCCTCCTGCCTTTGGCCCTGTCAAGCACTGGAATGTGGCCCCTGAAAGCTTTTCCAACTTTGAATTTGCCCCTTCGGTCCCCCATGTTTGGTCTATATGCTTGAAAAGGTCTCAGAGGATTTTACTGCTCTTCTTTGACATTTGTCTACTCTTATGGGTTTGTAATAATTTGTCCAGAGGGGAAATCCAGATGTGTTGCCTTCAAAAGCAGAGTCTTCCTGTGCTCTTAGACCTCAGATTCCTCCTTGACAGCATTGCAGTTGGAGTAGTTTAAGCATCTGACCAGCCGTTCAGCCTTAGGCTATAATATTTCAGATTAACCTTTAGGGTTTTCCTTGTGTCTTCTGCCAGTGCATACAATAAAGACTCTAAGCACCTCTCCTACCAGTATTGCTTGAGAAACTTTGATTAATGGGATATTCCCATTGAGCTTGGAACTTATTATGAATTTAGTTCCATGATCATCAGGCTCTTCTGAAGGTTCTTTGATATGGGTGATAGAAGGTATTTGGTCTTCAGAAATATGTGATATCAGTTTACAAAGAAATAGATTTAAAACACACACACTGCCACCATCACAAATGTCTTACTTTAAGGTGATTTAACATAAAAGAGATTTGCTGTGGTCAAATTGTATTATGCCAAGTTTTAAAATAACGAATAATATGTTTTGATAGCATTGGCACTTTATAATGTAGTGCAAGAGGCTTCATAGAGTCAACTGTTCCTGTTTTTGTATGTTACCATGATGCAGATCAGCAAAATGGTAAACACTGCAATCTCATGAGTGTGAGTGGCTGTGAAAATTTGCAAATTGCTCAAGATAATTAAAAGTTCAGTAAATTGGTTTGTTCAGGATTAGTTATTCTGAGTTTCCAAACCTCTTAAATTGTTGTGTATCCAGTCTGTTTACGTGAAAAAGATGTGCACACGAGACTAATCATAATTACATGTGAGATAAAGAGCCCCTGGATAATCAGGGGCTTCCTTCCTTATCTTTATTTTCAACTTGACTTAACTGACCTATGTAAGCAGCATTATCACTATAAAATTAATTGAGCAGAGCTGTTTCACAACAAGTGCTGATGGTGACTAAAGCAATGAGCAAATGCTTATAGCTTGAGGGAAGCCCCCAAACCTAAGAACTTCAAATATAGTAAGAACAATAGATATTAAAGTAGCAAACCGCCCTTAGTTGAAGGGTTGGTAAATTCTCTCTCTCTCTTTCTCTCTCTGATGGCGGCGGGGGGGGGGGGTGTTGAATAATTTTTGATTCACTGTAACAAGAAGAAAACTGCTCACAGCTTATGGAAACAGGCTTTTGAGTTCATAATACTAGAGATGGCTAATCCATTTTTTTTTCTTGCTCTATCTTCCAGGTCTACGCACAACGAATTAGAAAAGAACCGGTAAGTAACTAATGAACAGGATTCTGAGGAATGCAAACTTAATCATTTTGTTAGTTGTTAAGCCCTTAAGTTGCCCTATAGTCTGGAAGCCTGGAAATGCCACGTTGCACCAGGTGTGTGTCTAAAAAACAGAAATCCACTCCGAGATCTGAAAAAAGAAGGACCTCTCCCACCCTCTCTGAAATGCAAAGAAGTGACCCATTTTTGCAGCTAATCTGTATGCAGAGGAAATACTGTTTCTCTTCTCCTTGCAAACTGAAATCTGATTGGGTCAATGTCCATACATGAGGTTGCTAGGGTATCGGATTTCTCAGGCTCTGGTGCATGTTCGCTAAAGAGCAGAGTGTTTTTAATGTGTACGTGTGTTTTGCCCTCCCCCTCTTTCTCTGCCTATCAGGCCTGTCATAATCCCTGCTGCATTACAGGAAAATAGCATTGTCCGATTGCCTCTGAAGTCGGGACTCACCACTGCTCCTGAGGAGCGGTACTCTTGTAACCTGCTTTAGGACACAGCACAATTTATCTCTGAGACCAAGTTTTAGCAATCTATGCAGTTTTGTTGCTTGACTAGCTCTACTCTATGACTTACCTCCTTTGTAACAGGAGTTAGAGTAATATAAATGCTCTAAATAAATGTAAATACAAATACAGAAAGTTCACAAAGGCATTGGGTTAAAGCAAAGTTTTTAGGATCCTATCATTGTACCAGGGCTTCCTGATATACTATCTTCATGACTAGGGAGGCAGATAGGTGGTTGAGTGTATAGTCCCAGGCTTACCGGTGTGGTCTTGTGGAAGGGAACACGTCTTGCAGAGAAAGAGGAGAATTATTCTGAGCCTGTTCAGAATGTGCTAATAATGAGGACACTGCAGGGACACCCTGGCTTAGGAGCCTGGCTGAACTGAGACTGGAACAGTTGGCGTTACAAGCTTGCACACAATTTAAACAATCATGTGCGCCGGTATTCCTTTATTGCAGTGTTTTTCAGGTTTGTTTTGGTGCCCTGGCTTGCCCTTTGACATCCAAAGATTGTTCTTTGCATGCTTTCTGAGAGTATGCATTTTCTTCTGTCAAGGCTTGGTGCTGGGATGCCCATTCTTTTAAGTTTCTTTTGCAGTTTTGAATCGCCATCATGCTTTAAGTGCACACCCAACTCTATATACTTTGCAGGCATCCATGATTTGGGAGAGGAGGGAGATTGCAGGGAGGGGAAGTGGTACTCTTGTAACCTGCTTTAGGACACAGCATAATTTATCTTTGAGACCAAGGGGGAATTCTGATATTTCTGCAGAATTTTAGTGGGTAGCGGCTCATCAGGTTGGAAACAACATAATTTATGAAAAGAGAAAGGAAGGTTTGGTGAATGGGCATAAAATCAGACAGAAGAGGAGGTTTGGGCCAACCAACAGAGGGGAAGGAATTTGCCACACAGTTGTCCTCCATATGGCAGATCACAAGAAACAGTACTAGGAGTACTAAGATTTGTTATAAGAAATTTATAGTTTAGAACTCTGGAGCAGGACACTTTGATTGAAGGTGTAGTAGCCATATTTGTTTCATTATTATATTAGTGCTAACTTGTAGCCTTACCCAACTAGTGCCTTCCAACTGTTTAGACTTGACCTTCCAGCAGTGTCAGCTAGCATAGGGATTCTAGGAGTTGTAGTCCAAACTACCTACATGGCAGTGGGTTCAGGAAGGCTGATCCAAAGATGCCCTTTCAAGGAAGCTTGTTGCTAACTTCTTTGTTCCCAGAAACCTTTATGGGTGGCTTCAAGGATGGACTCACTCTGCTCCGCTCATGGAATTTGATGGGAGATGGCAGGGACACAGACAACATCACCTTCCATTTGTAACCGTCCCCTATTTTCCAACAATTTTTCCATCTTTTTTCTTACTAGGAAAAAGCTCTCTTTAAGAGGAAACCATGGAACAACTGCACAATGCCTTTTGATTGGTTGTGCTAGGAGCCCTCTGGCTGGTAGCACAACTCAGTGGTTGTGACACTATTATATACTGTAGAACTTACTTTCATAATGCCAGCCTTATTAAGATTCCGACCTCTGCTTTCTTCCAGGGAAGAGGGGGGTATAAGCTGTTTTGGCCCATGAACACTAAGCACAGGCCAATTTTTGTGCATGTATGAATTCTAGTAATAAAACCAGTTTTCACATATGTTGCAGCTTCCTGTAAGTGAGGACGAGGGAACAGCCAGATATGCACAATACAAGGAGAGAGATTTATTGTAGTAGTGGAAGGATATCTAGCCTTTTTCAACATGACGGCTAAATTAAATTTTGGAGAAACTCTTGGGGCTACACTCCATTGGTGAGAGGGGCTGAAAGAAAAGAAAAATGGCTCAAATATCAAGCTATTTTACCTTAAAACTCTTACTACAGGTCAATAAACCTTAGAAGAAGCATGTTGACCCTTACAATGGGGAGAAAACTGCACAAAGAATGGCAAGAACTATAGGTGGTTGGGGGAAAGAGACTGGCCAAGTAGAAGGGACCCTGGCCAGCTTGGAATCCCAAGCATTTCAGATTTGGTCAGAGACCCTGCAGTAGTGAAATCAATAGCAAAATTCTCTAGTACTATAGTTGTGTGCTTTCTGGAACCTTTACTGTCTGTTCAACACTGTCATAAAGCTACATAGGTTAACTTGGCACATTTCAGGAATCGCAGAACAGTGTGGTTTTATCTGTTGCTGTTGTTTTGCTACATCAGTCACAGTTTTCTTTAAAAATGTCAGTCTTCGTTGTGCTATACATCAACAACATTTAACTTCAGATTATTTTTAGCTAGTGCTACCAGTTTTGGTTTTGAATTTATCCTACTCCATGCTTCCAATTTGTTTATTTGTGTGAGAAAGGGAGATAGAGATCTAAAGGAGTGGGTCCAAATTCTTATATCTTTTGTGTGGTTCCCAGTGAGGACTTAGCAAATAGGCCTCCCCACTTTCTAAGAGCTAGGGGTTCAGTGCACTCTCCTTCATGTGAATGTGAGATAGAGTTCTGTAGAACGTTCATCTTGGGCTTCAGCCTCCAGATTATCTATGCCCAAAAGCAGCTGCTCAGAGTAGGCTGGCCAGAGGATGACCAGATATCTGTTACCTGCCATTTACTTTTGCTTATTGCATGTCATCATAGTGTGATTACTGTCCCCATGCTGTCCACCTATGACAGCATGTCTTATTTCCATAGTGCTCATACATAGGAAAAGCAGGATGGTTTCCCTTTTGACTACCACACCTGTGTCACTAAAACAAAGCTTTGACAGTCACTGTCAAATCTGGCACTCCAGCTGTGCCCACTTCTCCCTAGTCACAAATTTTTGGTGCTTTCTTGTCTACTGTACAGTTTTTTTTCACCATTCTAAAAGGTTGATTTGCCCTTTCTAGGGCTTCATTACTGGAAGTAAGTGCTTTAGGCTAAAGTATGCTGGGACATTTGGTTATCTGACCCCACTTTTCTTCAGCCCTACCCACCAATGGAGTGGGGTCCCCACAAGCTTCATTGAAATATAATCTAGCCTTTGAGTTGAAAGAGGTTTCGCCTGGCATAGCAGCATCTAGTTTGAGGATTATTTTTTCTTTGAGTAAGTTCTTACTCCTTTGAGTAAGTTGCCAGCTTGTTGTGCATTGAATACTTACTGTGGCTACAAATGGACTGCTTGTTAGAACAGGGATTGATTTAATGGCTGCCGATGAGCATCTTGAGGTTGTCTGTGATGGCCTCTTGGAAAGTGGGCAATAAGCAAGGAGAGCTCAGTGCAGCTAGGACAGAGGCAGCAGCCTTCTGGGGCTTGCACGTCTTCTCAGACCTTTCTTCACCCACTCCTTCCAATAACATCTTATGGATTCCCTGCTGGCACAGCTAAAAGAAGTAGTAGATAAAACAGTCCCCTGAGAACCAGACAGTGTGTTTTTCATGCTACTGGAGGAATCTACTTCTGGGCTCCAAGGCAAACAAAAGGATTGCTTCACCTTCAGATTTTCATAGCTCGCTATCTGTAGCGTCTTTAAGTCTGCCACAGACTCCAGACTTAACTGTGGCAAAGATAAAAGCCCTGCATCTAATGGCTTTGCTACAAGCAGTTGCTCTTTTTGCTTCTTCAGGAGTTTTTTTTTGGTGGTAATGGTGGTTATTTTCTTCTTGAATCCCAATGTTATCTCCATTATTGACAGAACCTGTAATTTCCAAAATTGTCCACTATTAGGTGCCTGACTCAGTTTCTTCACTCTTTGTCTGCAAGCAGTTGCTTGTCTGATAGGGTGTTTAAATTTATTTTAACCCATTCAGCTCAGGCAGGTGTGGCTTTTAAACAAAAGTACAGTAATCAGGTAATGAGTGATCTCTCTTTTTTTAGGCCCAGTACAGACATAGGATGTGTTCAAATACCAAGTTAAACTAGGGCTTGGTTAGATATGAATGAGCCTGGATTCCTCCCAGCCTTCCATGTAGCTGAGAAAACTGTTCAGAAGCATTAACTTCTGTTTTTAATTAATTGTCATTTGTTTGATCCAAACTGACAAACTTGTTTAATATTAAGTATGGCCAGTTTAGAACAAGTTAACTAAAGAAACCACAATTTGAGGTTAGCTTGTTAGTTTGTCAGTTTGTACTATACAACAAGCCATCACTAACCAAAAGCAGAAGAAACACCTTCCATGCTGTTCCTGAGTTAATGCTGACCATGACTAGCTTTAACCAGGTTTTACAACCTATCTTCAGATTCTTACTTCTCCATAAGTTTGGCTTTAGTGCTTCCTGTTTCCCCGATTCTTGTTCTTTCCAGCCGCTTATATTGCAGGGATTGGTACCTGTCTTGTATTTCACAGAACAGTTTGTTCTTTTCTCTCTGAACCAACTGGCCATTGCTTCTGGCAGAGAGCTTGTAGCCCCTTTCACTGTTAGCTTTCTAACACACTTGCTTAGAATGTCCATGTGCTCACTACATTAAACTGGCACTGAGCTGCATCCATTGTCTGTGCTTACAGAAACCCCTTTTCCTTTTTTGAAACAATTCCAAGATTTTAACCAAGAAGTTACCTCTTCGCCCTCTTACAAAGAGAGTCGTTTTAATTAAATCCTGAGTCTATGAGACTCTATTATGTGTGTTTGCATGACCTGGACATTTTTGAAATGCATTTATTTAATAAATATTTTGTGCATTTATAGCCTGCCTTTCCAGCTTGCAGTAAAGTGTTCAAAAGGAGATGGATAGGACCGTTCAGTCAAATGGGGCCTGTTATTTTTCCCACCCTTTCATTTCTTTGTGGATCTGTGAAATTAGCCCATGGTGCAGAAGAACATAAAAGAGAATGTCTGAAATGGGAAGAGGAGAGGCCTATACAAAGGAAAGTATCCATGTCTTGGAGAATTTTGGATAGGGCAATCTTTATTTTCAAAATTAATATTCTAAATCCCAAGTGACTGAAGCCTTCCAGAAGGCTGTGATCAGAGGAGCTTTACATTTCCATTCCTGTTGAGAATTGCAGAGGCACAGCTTTCAGGGCAATAGAGAGATGTGGAAGTCACATTTGCTTGGTGTTCTTCTGGCAGTATTGCAGTCGCATAGGAAAAGTCCTGCAACCCTTTGGGCAGGTCTGATCTCAGTGTGCATCATCCTATGAGCCACAGCAGAGCCAGGAGCAGAAATAACTATTGCATGGTTAAGGGCCTTTCTGTTTGGCTCCACCCATGGGATAGCAGGGCTTCAAGAGTTGTAGCAACATTGTGGGATGCATTCATGAAAAAGCTGCTCTCAGCATGTTTCTGTAACATTTAATCATAAGGATTTCAATTGGTTTAAACATTTAAATGTGGGTGTGAATAAACAGCACTTCTGAAGGAGAAAACAATCCCGTTTTCACAGGTGTTATCTGCATCTGTTTGCTGCAATTGCTATCTTGGAATGGGGTGCTGACCTCCTTTATAGGGAGAAAAGTAAGCCACCATGAGCATTAGATTCATGCTACCTGCACCCTTCTCTTTTTACGAAGAGGAGGAGATTAAAACTGATTCAGCTTCTATTTTAGATCAATTTTAGTTTGACTTTGTCTCAGTCCTGAACTGAGGGTAATCTTAACTAAAGTCAGTGACTATAAGCTGACTTTAGAAACTATGGTCTGAAGCTAGCTTATTTTCACTCACCGTAACTAGGATTTTGGGTTCTGATGATGTGGCAAGTTTTGTTTATGTAAAACCAAAATACAGACATACTTACGTAAAAACTTCCTCCTTACAACAGCACCAGGGGAATGGATGAATCTGAGGCTCTCTGTGACTGATTTCTTCATGCTAAATTGTGGTTTAGTGTGACTCTGGATGTGGTCATTCTCTTCTGCCACCTCCAGAATTGTCTAAATGATTATGTTAGAAACAGTGCGATATTAAAAATCAGCTGCCCTATTAGTTAGAGCAACTTTTAAATCAAACATTTTGATAGATTAGACCTAGCTGATTATTCAGGTAAACACCAAGGTCCTAGAAATGCTATCTTATGAAAATTAAACATTTTATCATACGCAGTCTATGACAACAGATTGTACAAGAAGGGGTCGCTCAAACTCCTGGAGCAAATTTTTAGGGTGGGGGAAGAGGAACTTCTACTCTCCCTGTTTTGTTGACAGAAGCTGTTTTGTTGGCAGGAAGGGTTCATGGGATATACCACCCTTTGAAAATGAAAGACTGCTATATAAATGATTGATGGTGTGTGAACACATTACTTTTTATATAGTAAAACCAGTTATATATGCCATCACATATCTGAGCTACCTGTGATGAATGTTTTATTTTGGAGGTGAATCAGAGTATTTCTCACTGAGTGGTGAATCATGAATCTCCTTTTGTGAAGTAAGTGTGTGTACCAAGGTACATAATTGAGCAGTGTGCCTGCTGTGCGAATACACTCAGCATATTTTAAATATTTAGTATTTCTTCCCTCCCCAGTCTCATTTAGAGGAAACCAGGTTTGCGTATTTTCACAGCAGAAACCATTGTGTACAACATGGATTTGGCTAGGATCTGGTGATGTCTCTTATCTGAACCCTTCCCTCCACCCTGAAGCATTTTTTTTGGTGGGTTTTTTTTAAAAAGCCTGCTTTTTAAAAGGGGTAATTGCACATTTAATTGAAAAAAGTACATGCTGCACTTTCAGGTGAAGGCAGACAGCCTACGTGAAGCATGAAGGGAGAGGCAAAAAAGATAACTTGAATCAATGTTTTGAGTCACTGGCCCAATTCATCTGTCAAATGTGCTGTGAAGGTAGAAGAAAGCCAGGTTTGTGGGAAGGAGGAAAAAAGCAAAGGCCTGATTTGTATTTATATTTTGAGGTACCGTGAAGATGTCGCAATACTCTACCAAAAGGAAGATGCAGAAGTGAGCTATGAAAAAGAAGAAGTAAGGTAGCACCTTGACTTTTGTTGTCTGGTGAAGTTCTAGAAGAGCTACAATCTTATTTGTGTTGCTTTGTCAGTGTTCTCCATGGACTCTAGGTAGTGGACTTTGGGAGGACTGGTTGGATTACAATAACAGACGCTAAAATGTGGGCTCTCAAACAGAGCAGAAGAATTATGCTCAACCATTTGGCCAAAAGCAGCAAGAAAATAGATTTGGAGAGGATAATCTGTTCTTCATACAGTATAAATGAGGAATTAAGGAAGAATCAGTGCTTTGGTTTTTGTGAGTCCCAACGAAATATAGCAAAACTTACATAAATGGAAAAGAGCCAATAGAAACATCCTCCTCCATGAGGAAAATGATGTCTGTCTTGTTCCCAGAAAAAAAGCAGGGTACCAACTAGAGAAATGTGTGTCCAGAAATGCATTTTCAGTGGTTTCTCTAGTTATTTACAATCCCACATTATCCCCTGCACAGACATCCTGGAAACATTGGAGGTGGGCAGAAGATTGATGTTCATCTGCTTTAGACTTCAACTCAGATAAACCCTTGGCAGCATGGTCAGGGACAATTAGCAAGGCTAAGGGTTGGATTCTAAAATGTCTGCAGATCTCCTCCTGCCCAAGCCTGACTTAGTGGACCTATAGCCACCTCCTTGGCTGACACCCTCCTACTTGGTATGTGGTTCTCTTCCACTGATTCTGTTACTTTCATTTATTACTTTGTGCTTCAGCAGAACCTATTTGTTTAAACATTTGTCTGTCCTTTCTACAAGCAAAGGGTGAAGGCTTAATTTTAAGGGCAAAAGTTAATGGGATATCTGTCTTTCCTGTATTTTCTTCCACATAGCCTTGGCCTTGCTAAGTTCCTTCCTGGTACTAAAACTTGGCTTGCCAGGGATGGGTGGGGTAAGTGGGGAAATTTATCTCTCTATTGAAGGGAGATAAATAACTACAGTGGGATTTCTGCTCCCTTTACTTGTATGGTCTGAAACTCACATTTTACATATGATTTGGGGCAGACTCAGATCTAAAAAACAGGTGTACAGCCATCGCGTGCAGTTATTTGAGCCTTAAAATTAAGGCTGCCTGAGGAGCCCTGGCAGTCTGAAGTGGTCCAAGTTTTCTCCCCACAGGTTTTCAGATGCCTCTTCCTGACACTCCAGTGAATACAGGATAATTATTTCTTTTAAGAGAATTTGAAATTCACTCAACAGTCAAGTAGGGATGCCCTTAAAAGTAGACAAGTGTCCATAAGCGTTGGATTAAATTCCATTCCCAAAGAATTGGATTGAAAGTGATCAGCCAGTCTGAAAGGGAATGGGACTCTTGCCCCTTTTCTTTTTTCAAGGAAGGCAGTCCACTTCTTGACCCACCTGGCTGTTGTGTTTTTCTTGTAGTCAGAGCTGTGCATAGAACATTTTCGTGGGCAACAGGAGTTACTTCCCTATTACTGCAGTAACGTTAACCTTGGTACAGCAGTGGTGACTTGATAGCAGTGCATTGCAAACATGTTGCAAAGTAACGAGCCTCTCCCTCATCAGTCCCAAACTAGAACTATGCGAAGCAGCTCATGCAAGCCAATAAATGGAATGGCAATTGTTGAAGTTGACTGGTCAGAGTCTCACACAGTTCCTTGTCTAATTCATCTGACTCACAGGGCAAGTGCTTCAGACATGTTAGAGAGCCAAAGGCAAAGTATTGCCGGAAAACAAATGTAAAAAAAAGAAAATATTCTTGGACTGGAGTGAATTGGCTTTGTGGGCTAAGAATTTCGTACTTAAGGTCAAGTGGTGGAGTGATGGATATGCACACATCTATTTGGGTGCTACAAAAATGTTATGGAAAACTTTTAAAAGGGCTCCAAACCCAGGGGAAGAATTTTGGGGTGAAGGAAACCATGTAAGTTATCAGGAAAGCATAGTTTTCAGTGCTGTGATTCCAGAAATTGTTACAAAAACAAATAAGCTGCTCCTAATCAAAAGCACCTCCGTAATGAGGGTATTCACAAGGTGTGCAAGTATTAATGAGGGTACTCATAAAGTGTGTATTAATGGGTCTGTGGCATGTTTAATGGTTTTTGTAATGAGAGTAGCAGCTACCTTCAGTCTGCTAAAACTTATGCATTCCCTTAATGTGTGTTTAAGTGTGCATGCTCTTGCATTCTAATCTGATCAGTGAAGTGTTGACGGTACAGTTTTTCTCATTTCTTCATAACTTGGGTTTATGTCATTGCCCAAGGCAAGGTAAAGAGGGCCGTGAGCCAACCATTTGGATACAAGGAAAGAATTATAGATTGATAACAAGCTATTAATATGCAGGGAGTCTCAATTCCATACTATGGAAGTTTGGTGAATAACTGCATTCTGTAACAAGGATATATTCTACTTTTTCAGTAATTCTGCATGTTTCCTTACTTTGCATAATTAGTGCTGAGGAGAGTACATTCTTCACTGTAGAACTTTGTTTTTATTTTCCTAAAACCCTTGAGTAGTATGCATAAGCCTTATTGTTACAGAATCTGCAGATTAGATTTTAGGTACATCATCTGCTGTAACTATGAGACCTATGTTTACAGCCCATATGGAATGTTTTATACAAGCTGGGATTCTGATTTAGCAACTTACCTTTTAGAAGCATTGTGCTCCAAGCTGCATGGGAAGTTCTTAGTAAAGAGGAAATGAGGGAATGAGAATATAATTTCCCAAACTGGCTGTAGTTATGTAGACTAAGATGTTGCTAAACTATCTAATAATTGCCTAGATGGGGAAAATACTGAACCAAAGTATATACATAGGGGATGTCTGCACTTTCTAAAACAAATTCATGAATATAGTGCAGTTGCAAATAATCACCCATTCACAGAGTACTCTGTGCGCATAGGTGGTAAGCCTAGCAATTAGTGCTGCCGTGTTGCTGCTCTTATGAATGCCCCCTTCCTGGATACCTTTTTGTGCAGTCACTCACTGAAAGTATTAATATTGTTCTTAGGGTATTAGGAAAACAAGAGAGCCTCATTACTGACCTGCAGCCTTAAGGAAACTCTACAGGGTGTTTGCAGCAAATGAGCATTTGTTGGCAAGGACCCAAGTCGGTTGCATGTAGTGGCCGTGTTTTAAAGTTGACATGAACTAAATGTTTACATTGTACAGTATTCTAAACAGTGACCATTCTGATGGAAGAGCATTTTGGTCTGTCAGTGATTGCCTCATCATTACTCCTCATTGCTGAGCGCGTTCAGAAATGTGGATCTGTTCCAGGCTTGCAGTTTTGAACAGAGTAAGAATATTTGCATGCACATGCAGCCAGGTGCATGCAGGCAGACGGGGGGGGGGGGGGGCTGGGATCTGTTTGGGTATCTAGAAATTGGAATAATTCCTGCCCTTTTAAAGGCAGAGGCGAAGAATGTATGTATTTTGAGTAGGTGACATCTCAAAAATGGTGCCTTTCAGGGGCTCAAGATAGATAGAGATGCCTTCTTGGAATAGCTTAAGTACAGAACTTGCATATTGTACTATGCCAGAAGTATGTGCAAGAAATCCAAAAATTCACTCTATACCAAACCTGGGCACTAAGTGTAGCTTTGGTTTAAACTTCTATTTTATACACTGTAGCACTAGTAATTCTCTTATAGAAAATGATGCTGAGCACAAATCCAGCTTTGTGTGACATCAGGTAAAGGGTATGGAAACTAGAATCTTTGGATATTGGATGCTATACTGTCAGTATTTTTAAAATGTGTACCTGTTGATATGGAAAATGGAATAATGGAACACTGTGTTATCTATTGCTAATGCTACTGCTTGTTTTTCTTTCTGCCCCACCTAAACCAGGCTACTAATCTAGGATATTACCTGTTTGTGTCTTAGAATAATTCTGCTGGGCTTATCACACTGACATAGCTGGCAATAAACTTCTTGATGTCTGAAAATCAATTTGCATGTTACATGACTGTTAATGAGGAAATGTGTGGAATGTCCCCTCCCCCATGCATTAGAACAAGTGCCAATGTTACATTACGATTTCTGTATTCCGGTGTGTGCAACAGGAGAAATTGAATATTTTCCTTTACATAGATGCCCTGAGTCTTATTCGCTTTTCGCCTGCTCTTGTCCATTAGCTCTGTTGTCTATTGCTTCATCTGTTGAGCCCTACATATAAGGAACCTACATTTCTGTGACGAGCAGTGGGACTCTCCACTCTCATCACACAGTTGGGTGGATGCCTGAGTAGGGCTTTTGGCTATATTGTCCCCACTGATATATATTATCATATATTATATAGCTGTTGGCTATATTGATTATTTTATTTTGAGGTGATGGCATAGTTGTCTTCATCATCAGTTTACTTATATGCCGCTTTTTCATGTAAAACCATGTTGAGAGTGGCTTGCAACCATGTCAAGTTTTAAACAACAGAATTTAATATTTCCTAATAAAGTTATAATCTTGAGGTTTACATAATCATACACATAACTATCTCACATTAATAAGCATCCCTTTAATATCTATACAGTAGGATTAATACAATTCTATCTTAACTACTCTAAGGTCAGTCAAAAACAGCCAAAATAATCACAGGGGGCAGCAACCTTTGTAGCTGGAGTTGTCCGCCCACCCTCCCAGACCTGGTAAAATAAGCTAGACAAGCTGGGACCAAGTCTTGCAGTACTTGCACCCAGATGTTCTCAAGGTAGCGTGTCTGTGCCTGCAGTCCTTGGCTGGTGGTGGCCATTTCACACATGCAGATTCTCACTTGATACAGTCTCTGTGCAAGTAACTTACATGCATAAACATGTCCTCAGAGTCTTCTGGGGAAGCAGCTTGTGAATTGTACCTGCATTTGTTGTGACCTCCATGCTATTTCCTCTTACTGAGCAGACCTTACCTATGACACTTAAGTATCATGTCTGTCGTACCATTTCCCCTGATTTACCCTTATCATGCAGTTTGCAGTGTACATGTGGGCAAACCATGACAAAATTGCTGTGGGTGTGAAAAGGAGTG